CACACTGTACAACACGGTACACACACTGTACAACATGGTACACACACAGTACACACACTGGGTGCACACACTTTATGTGTTTGTGGTTGTAGCTGTGATGTCTCATGAACAGATTAATCCAATTCAGAAAGATGAAACTTGTTGAATGTTTTAAATACAAACTGCTCATCGATGAAGGACAGCTGCTGAACGTTTCATGAGTTTCTGTTGTTTCTGTTCAGGTCCGAGGGAAATCTCCGAGGCGTAAAGGTCAGCACACAGACCTGGACTCCTGGCCGTCCTCCAGTAAGAGTTTCAGACCTGATGATTTTTGCACATGTGAACAAAATATATATATTTTTTATTTTTTTATTTATTTGTTTCTGTTGTGTGTTCCAGCGATCTGTCAGTCTCACAATAATTCTTCTACCTCCACTAAAATCCTGTATTTTACTGGAAAATCTCCAACACCCTCCATGATCAACATACCCAAGAGGTAAAAGTGTCTGTGGATTTTTTTCTGTCTCAAACATAAATTAAATATTTAAAGCTTAATGAAAACTGTTAGTGACGTTAATGTTTCAGCAGATTTGTTTAGGTTTGTAGAACATTTCAAAGAAATACAGGTCATAAAGTGTCAGGTGTTTGTTTGTTTGTTTGTTGTCACAGGCTCGGTGAGGTGACGCTCAAAGACGTTAAGGCAGCTGTTGATCGAGAGGGAAACTACAGATATCACTTCAAAGCCCTGGACCCAGAGTTTGGCACCGTGAAAGAGGAGGTAAACAAACAACACAACAACATGAGGTCGCCTGGCTTTAAAGATCCTGTGACATGTTTATCCTACAAATACAGAAGTGGAGGAGAACATCTTGATATTTAAGAAATCTGACATAAAACACTGTTTCACCCATTTCACTGGCATATTTCCTTTTGAACTTGGCACAAAGTGAAACAGGAAGTGACATCAAAGGGAAACTTTTTAAAAAAGAGGAACTTCCTGGTCGTAGAACTCCGACCGTTCTTCATGTCTCTGATGGTGACTAAATAATTTAAAGAAACATATTCTTCTCTACTGTCTGTGTTGTTGCCGTTCCCGTTTGACATCACTTCCTGTTACTGTGCATGTGAATATCTCCACAACTGTTCATCTCAGAGGAGTGATTTTTATCATTATTTTGCAACATATTTTTAATGTTATCTTTCCAAAAAAAGCATTAATATTTATGACAAAAAATAGATTTAGAAGTTTCCACCCGTCCATTCACATGAATGGAGTATTTTTCTGACTCAAAGATAAAGAATAAACAATTTGTTACAGGTTGTTGACTCACATGGTTTTTATCTCACTGCTGTTTGTTCAAACTCACTTTTCATCAGTATGTTTAGTTTCATTTAGATCTCTGAGGCTTTACTATTATGTTTACATGTGATTGATGATGTAACAGCCTGGTGGAGAGTTAGGGGACAGTTCCACGTCTCTAATGCACATCTGGCTCCAAAAATAAAACACGGCAACACCCAAAAAACTGCCTTCTAAATATTTATTGCAAAACATTGATGTACATCATTCACTGCTCAGATGTTATAGGTTTGTTCAGGTAAACATCACAACATTTAATGCAATGTTTGTAAATTAAGTCTGCAACAAAATAAAAAATCTCACATGTGAGGGTTCATCTCAGGTCACAGCTGTAAAAACTCAAACTGTCTGACTGTTGGAGTCCGAGTTCAAATTTAGAGAATATTTTTAGTTTCCTCAGGCCCGCTGGTAAAACTGAAGCTTTATTCTAAAGTACGAGTTTCTGATGGTTTACTGTATTTTAAAGATGGCAGGAGAGTTCTGTCCGTGTTCTGTGATCAGATAAACGTTTCTGTTTGTGTGTGAGGTCAGAGAAGACAACAAGTCTCTGTTTGTCCCTGCAGGTCTTCCTGGACGGAGCCGTCGTTCCCGGCTGGGAGGGGAAAATAGTGGCATGGCTGGAAGAGGACGGTGGTGAGGACAGGTAACAACATGTCCATCTTCGTTCGTCTCTCACTTCATTCCATTAACCTTCAACAATAAACTCGTTTTCTTTTTCCCCTCAGACCATTGTAGACTCAAGCTGAAGATCACTTCCTGTTTTTACTGCTGGAGCTCCAGTTTAAGACCTTTTAGTACAATTGGTTATTCTGGTTTGTTGGCTGGTCCTAGTCTAGTTTAGCAGGTCTTCTGACACCAACTGTTTGCCTTACTGTTTCTCCTTCATGCTCTTATCTCTGCAGGGCTTCAACTAAAGAATGAGAACTGGACTCAAAGAGTCCAGATCATGGTTTTAAATGAAGCACTGTGGTGTTCTTCCTGCTGCAGGAGGAACCTTTTAGCACCAGGAAGTGGAAACCTGAGACGCTTCATTGTTTCGTATCACTTCGTGTGCAGCGTAGAGGCCTTGAAACAAACACCCTCAGACACGTAGTTATGTACTCGGGCACCGAGTTGTTTCAGATGTAAAATAACATTATTTACGTACTCGAGAAGAAAAGGAATAGAAGGACAGCCGAGGTGTTTGTCAGACAAAACTTGAAGGATTAGGTTTACGTGCTGCACAAACTGACCTGCATCCACCGACGTTTCATGTTTTTGCGTTTGTTACATTTGATGATGTTTGATAAACTTTTACTGCAACACTCTGCCTGTCTACATGTAGTTCAGACCAGATGGACCCAAATCCAGCTGTAGGTTTGATGTTATTCTGGAGCTCGCCACCTGGCGTTCAAACAGGTTCAAACTGGATAAAAGGGGCAGCTTTATTATGGAAATGTTGAAAAACATGATTTTTTTTTTGTCCTATTTTTTTAACCTGTTTTCACCAAGTCCTTAATTATTTCAAAATATCGAAAAAAAACATTTTTTGTTTCAGATTTATTTGGTCAAAACATTATCAGGTGAAAACTCCTCATTTCTTTTAAAACTGCTGTTTTTTTGTCTTGTTTTTTTTTTTAAAGAAATGTTGGTTTTGCAACAGTTACCCATCTCATTATTTATGGTTTTGTGTGCATAAACACAAATCCCAGCGTTTTCACACGTGAGTTTTCTATTTCAGATCAAAGTGTTTGTTTTACAAAGAAGCCAACAAGATGCTGTTTTAGTTTATTTTTAATGCCAGGACTGCCTGTACTATAAAATGTACAATTTACTAGTAACATGGTTATTTTGCACTTGTGTTGTTACACTGAATTTTTTTAATCTGGATATCGTGTGATTTATAAAATGATACTGAAGACTGAGCTTTGTTGAATGTTTTGACAGATGTGTTAAAATAAACCTTTTTTTTCCAGAGTTTCATGTTTGTGTTTTATATTTATTGCGTTGGTTAGTTCACATTTAATCAGTTAAACTACACAAAGTCTGCTAGATATTTTTCTCAACTCCAGATAGTTTCCATTTGTTTTCATCCATCCATTATCTTTTACCTGCTTCTTCCTTTTTGGGTCACTGGTGCCCAAATCCAGCAGTGACTGTGCGAGAGGTGGAGGACACCCTGGACAGGTCCAAATACATCACATGGACACATATTCTTGTATTTTGTAATGTAGTATGTCTATATGTATTAATGTGATGTGATGCTGGATATCTGTGTGTATTTTATGTTCTGCAGAACAGGAACCTGCTGTAAAACAGCAATTATGCTGAGCCAGGCCCGATTTCTTTTAATAATTTCCTGTTTAAAAATTGAATAAAATACAACCATTCATTCTCTCATTCACACCTAGGGACAATTTGGTCACCAATCAGCCTAACATGCATGTTTTTGGTCTGTGGGAGGAAACTGGAGTACCTGGAGAAAACCCACACATGCACGGAGAGAACATGCAAACGCCACCAGAAAGGCCCCAGGCCGGGATTTGAACTGGCGACCTCGCTGAGAGGTGGCAGCTCTCCCAACTGAGCTACTGTGCTACTCGTTTTTTCCAATTTCAGTTATTTCAAACTGTTTCAAAAAAGTTATTTGAACACTTATTGCGGTTTTAGTTACTATTTACTATGTTTTCTTTTTATAAACGTTAATAAGATAAAGATTATCAAAAGGTGTAAAACCTACAAAACCTCATGTAAAGCAGCTTTTTCTGCAATGGACTCTTCTCCGGCGGTACTTTTCCGCCACCGTGCGGCCATTGATGGAACTGCAGAAAATTTTGTCCTCGTTCAGGAATAATTTATCACCTCAACCGAGACAACTGATTTTTTCATTCTCTTTATTTTATGTTTTGTATGTTTTTTTTAATAGTCATTTAAAAAAAAAAAAAAAAAAAGCTTTGATAGTTTATTTTTTGGTGAAATATGAACGGCTAGTTTTACGACACCTCGCTTAGTTTTACCGCAGCGGTGCCGTAAAGCTGTGTGTGTGTGTGGTTTTTTTTTTTTTGACAGGAGGTCATTGGAAAGTGAGGAGTAAAGTCGGAGCCCAGGAGTTCCCAGTGCCAGCTGTATTCTCATGCGGCTGTGAGGCGGATCCGTTATTTACCGACCCGGTGTAGAGCGTCGACCGCTGCGAAATGCTCCGTTTAATCCTGCGGCTCAGGCCGGCTCCCGGTGGCCCGGGTCTCCGCGTCCTCCCGGCGGCTGGGCCTGCCGCTGCGCTCAGCTCGCGCTCCGTTTCCGGAACCGGGTGTCTCAGGCGGCTCCACTGTGGAGAGGGGTCCCGAACCGTGTCCCTGGGTTCGGGCTTCAGTTACAGGACGACCTGGCTGCGGTGTCCCCGCCTGGCTGGCTGTCGGAACCAGCGGTTCTACAGTCTGCCGCCCCACCAGAAGGTATGACCCCTGCAGGGCTCACCTGAGCCGCCACACCTGTGAAGTAAAGGGTTAAAAACCTGCTGCTGTGATGACACGATGTCTGTCAGTCTGACTCCATCATGGACCTGGAAAGAAAAATGTGCTTTATTTTGGGTTTATTTCTCCACCAGGTTTGGTCTCATTTAAACAAGTTACTGACATGTTCATTTTGTTCTGAGCAACAGATAAATAAACTGTTGTTGTTGTTGTTGTTGTTGTTGTTGTTGTTGTTGTTGTTGTTGTTGTTGCTGCTGCTGCTGCTGCTGCTGCTGCTGCTGCTGCTGCCAGCAGTCTGTTTACCACCAGTGTTTCAACCTCACATTTATTCATGTCTTATTTATTTGATAAGAAAATAATAAAAACTAGAGCAGACTGAGAGATTATTAATATTAGTTAAAGTCACTTTATTTTGACTGTGGTGAAATAAAATCACAGGTTTGAGATCAATAATTAATCCAGGGTTGTTGTTGTTGTTCTAAACAGGGCTGCATGTTAATTACATTTTAGTGACAGTCTGTCTTTTATAAACACTTAACTATTATCCAGCGATCGTAGAATGACGTGTTTTCGTTCAGTCATTTAATAAATTTGCTCTTCAGAAGTATTAAAGATTAACTTTGTAACCAGTATAATCTGACTGAGACACATTTATAAAGATCGTTTTAGAATCAGTTATAATTCATAACATTTATAATTGAAATGTTTTTATAATGTATATTAACTAAGTGGGTAACTGATTCCACGTCATCTTTTTAATTGAACGATTTTATCAGACTTTTTATTTAGGCTGTAAAACTCTTCATCCTGTTTGTCTACAGTCTAGTTTCATTTTCATCCATAGTTTCACAATTTATTAATCCCTGTTTTTTGTGTCTGTAATAATCTGTAATGGTTCGCTTTGATCTGCCTCCCAGCTGGTAGCTCCTGCTTATCTGTCAGCGGTCAGCTGACCTCAGGTCAGATATAAAGTCCACCGATGTGCGGGGCAGTGGCCGTTTGTTGACCTCTGGGATGAGGTGATGATGATGTCACAGCTGTGCTCGTGACGCCTGACGTTTGGCGCTTTTGCAGCGGCGACGTAAAGGAACCGTGACGATTTCTTGAAATCTGTCCCTCAGGTGGAGCTTCCTGCTCTCTCACCCACCATGCAGACAGGAACGATCGCTCGCTGGGAGAAGAAGGAGGGCGATAAAATCAGTGAGGGCGACCTAATAGCTGAGGTTAGGAGCTCACGTGACTGTGTGAGGTCATCGTTATATTTGTTACTGAAGTTAATTCAACGTGTTTCTGTAGGTCGAGACCGATAAGGCCACGGTGGGTTTTGAGATGCTGGAGGAGTGCTACCTGGCAAAGATCCTGGTTCCTGAAGGCACCAGAGACGTCAACGTCGGCTCAGTCATCTGCATCACCGTTGAAAAGTCAGCATCTTTTGTTTGCGTCCATGTTTGATCCTGTTCCATGTTTCTATGGAGCACAACAAACCATCAGAGCGTCTGCGTCCCCGCGGGTGGAACAACCTTCATGTCTGCTGTTTTCTCTGCAGCCCGGACCTCATCGACGCTTTTAAAGATGTAACGTTGGACTCCGTTAAATCCGCCGGTGCTGCTCCTTCACCTGCTGCCTCTGCTCCTCCTCCTCCAGCTGCTGCAGCTCCTCCTCCTGCTGCACCGGGCAGCTCCTACCCCCCACACTTGAAGGTGCGTGTGCTCGTCCATCAAAGCCCATCAGACTGGTTGAGCAGGGCTCCGTTTATATTCCCAGTAGTTGCAGGTGTCACATCCTCTGAGGGGTCTGGGTTTCAGCAGAACTCTCATTTTCTGCCTAAATGCTTTTTTTTTCTCTCATGTTCGTTATAAACCAACAAATCACCTGACATTTGATGATGATGATGATGATGATGATGCTGTAAGATCATGTCTCCGGGTTTAAAGTTGTATTTGTTGTTTCTGTTTGGAGGATTTTATTCTCTTCAGCTCATATTTGGCTGTCCACGCTGCCTCTGTTTGTGCATGAAGCTGCTGTTTATCATTTAGTCAGATCAGATGGGGGTGGATCAGAGGTGATGGGGAGGGTGGTTCTTCTCTGACTTGAGCTGTGGGTGCAGCTGTTACAGGTTTTGCTCCTTCTGTTGGATTTGCTGCTGTAAAGAAGATGACCCCCCCCCCCCCCCCCCCCCGTTAATCAAATCTGTGCGTTGCTTTCAGATTCCTCTTCCTGCCCTCTCTCCCACCATGACGATGGGGACGGTGCAGCGCTGGGAGAAGAAAGTGGGTGAGAAGCTGAGTGAAGGCGATCTGCTGGCTGAGATCGAGACAGACAAGGCGACCATCGGTAAATCCTGGCTGGCTGGAAGGTTTTAGCTCGGACACGATTATCCAAGATGTTTGTTTTTGTTAGTGTTTGTTTTTTAAAGTTACCGTTGGACACGTTGTGTTTTTCTCGCAGGCTTTGAGGTGCAGGAGGAAGGTTACCTGGCTAAAATCCTGGTGGCAGAGGGAACTCGGGACGTTCCTCTGGGAACGCCGCTCTGCATCATCGTGGAAAAAGAGAGCGACATCGCTTCCTTCAAGGATTACGTGGAGACTGGGTTGGCGGAGGTGTCTGCGCCTCCTCCCCCTCCTCCTCCAGCTCCTGCTCCTGCTCCTGCAGCGGTGAGACACGCAGACAGATGTGTTCACGTCTGCTCTGAAATGTTCTCGGCTGATGTCCACGACAAACACGTCACATGCTCAGACTCCTCTGCTCGGTGGAGCGTGTGACGTCAGGTTCTGATGCCGTTTTACTGAGTTTATTCTTTTTTTTTTTTTTATCCTTTTGTCAGCAATTCAAATTTATCCATAAATATATAAAAGTGGAGCCTCGTTTGGAGCTTTTGCAGCTTGTTCTGTTTCGTTCAGGACGTCCCAGCTGCCAGTCAGGAGGACCTCCGCTGTTTAAAGTGCATCACATTCATCTCAGAGTGTAGTTAAAAATCCTCAGAGCCTGTAGCTCTGTCCTCACTTTGAAGGTTGGACTCAGGTTTACATGTTTGTTTGTTTTTTTAAGGCTGCAGTTCCCGGTGCCGCTCCAGCAGCTGCTGCTCCGGCAGCACCGAGGAAAGGCCGCGTGTTCGCCAGCCCACTCGCCAAGAAGCTCGCTGCTGAGAAGGGAGTGCAGCTGGCTCAAGTCAGCGGTGGGTAACACCATGTTGCTTCTGTTAGCGCTTCAAGTATCCGTTGGTCACCTACTGCTACAACCTTTAGCTACTGCTACAACCTTTAGCTACTGCTACAACCTTTAGCTACTGCTACAACCTGTAGCTACTG